CAGCGTCTAGTTATAAACTACCCTCTGCCAAGTACAGACTAAATTACAGTTTAGCAGCCCCGCCCCAAAGATTGGTGCATGTGACAGCCTGGGTAATAAATCATTTCAAATCTACCAAGCTGACCCTTTCTTAACCAATCAGCGAAGTGGAAGGAACACATGCTCAATACGTGCTCATTAACTATGCGGTGATGTCAGAGGAAATGACCATATAGAAAGTTGTCTATATTTTCGACGAAGAACTCTGATTGGCCCGGTGAGATCAGAGATTTATTATAAACTGGAAGAGTGAAGACGAAGCTTTCTTTTAAGAAGTGAAGTCGAACGAATGCAAAGGGTAATGAATTAGACGACCATGCTAACAATTTAAAAGATGAGTGGTTAGTGACTCTCATAATGCCTAATATGATTTCATAGGGATTTGATTTTAATGTCAGACTTCTGTATACTGTACATGTATTTTATTTAAACTAAAGCAGACCTACTTAAGCATGTCCCTCTTTTATGAGTTCAACATAGAATTTTGCTTTGTTCTTTTGGTAAAGGAAAGCTTTCTCCACATAAACATGAATTCACTAGCCTTTTGATGACCTTTATATTAACACAGTAAAAGCTGATATTCCATAGAAATAAAAGTTGAATTAAAGCGTATTATTAAGACTGCCATATAGTAGTGGTGGTCAAATCAGAAATGTACACAATACTAATCAGGAACTAGAAATTTAATGATAAACCTATGGGAACTGAAACTAAGTTATTTCTAAATTCAAAAAGTTTCAATAAATAGCACTCTAATAAGTGTTTCTAGTAGTCATATCTTAATAGAGTTCTTGCAGTAAAATAGTAGAAAAACAGAAATATGTAAATGAGTTCTATCTATTTCATTGCACCCACATATTATAATTACCCATAGGAGTTATTATAATGCGATATATCTACCCTTTGCATTCGTTTGACTTCACTTCTTAAAAGAGAGCTTCGTCTTCGTGTAGTTTAACTAGACTCTGCACGCAGGGTACGATATATCAATGTTCTTAGCATTAACAATTTCATTTTTTGAAAGAAAAACTTGTCTCCGGTGCTTGATTTCAGAAGAGCAATAACTAAACAATGGAAAATACACACTCCTATTAAAGCCTTATTATTGACATCCTGCTAACATATCATTGCGCCTTGTATAGGCCACAGAAATAAATCTTAATTTGAGAGCAATCGATATGGGATTGTATCCATGCATTAGCTACTAGCGCAGGGTTGATGACTATATGATTGCACAACAGCCGATTGGCTCAAATGTTCGGTAGAAAATAACGAGTAATTGAGCTGTGAGCCAAGATCAATAACCCTTGAGGAAAATCCTATATATTATTATCACCCTTCTTAAAAGATGGAGAAATATTACTTTTTGTGTCATTTAAATTGATTAGATTGTAATGAGAACCCTCGACATTTATAGCAATGAAAATGTCATGGTATCAGATTCATCTTTTCTTTGAGATGAAAAAACATGCCTCCTAGCAAAAATAAACGATGGGCACATTCTAAAAGGGTAAACGAAATGAGAAGAGTGCAATAAGCAAACAATACAATAAGCCTGAATATGAGTCAACACTCTAAATTCTATGAAAATTATAAGAAAATTAGCCAATTCATTCATGACTTAAAAAGAAACAGCAATGCTCAGTGATATTTCTACACAGGTATTTATCTGTGATTAGCAGTTAGTATCACAATAGAAGTGATTATTTGAGTGATGAGGAAACAATGCTTGTCAATACCCTTGTAATTTAGAACCAATTCTTACCTCTGGGAGTTCATGAAGCCCTAGTAGTGTGAGACTAGGATTAAGGACATAAATGAATCAATACAGAGTGTTTCATTATCTTGTTTTGTGTTGGAAAATCACCTCAGTTACACAAAGGTAATATTAGTGTCAATTTACCACAAGGTGTTACATTAATGAAAAGGCAAAGTACCAAATGCAGGGTGTAGCATTGTATAATTCTAAAATGCCAACATATTTAATGAATACAGGAGTGTGACATTCTAAATATGATACCAATAACCTTGCTTCTGGGAAAATCAAATTATATTAAGCACACAATACTCCAATATCTGTGAATCAGAATCTAAAACCATATTAGATTAGCCCTTTGCGGCATCATCTAAACTGACAGTATTACACAGAAAAAAAGATTATACAATAATATAAATGTCTGAGATGTAACAAATGATGGAACTACTCTATTATGTAGTATTGTAGTTTTCTCAAGAAATACTAGAATATTCCGGTTGGTATCCAACACCTATTAAGGACATGTAACTGGTCTTTCAAGCAATTTCAATGCATCGTAAGGCTGTATTCATCCAATGCAAAGTTCTATTCATACCCCAGATATATTACATATGACCATTAACAGACAATAAGCCACCCTGTTGATCGGGTATCATCCAACCAACAATGGTTTGCCTCACAGAAATAAATACAGGACTTGTGGTCATAAACAGATAGAACATATTATCGTCTGATGGATGTATGACGAATCCTGCTATTTTACATAAATAATACACCAGTTCTACTTATTTCTTCTGGATGTATCAAGGTGGCAATGTTTGTGACTAATTTTTTCTTTGAAAGGAAAAGAAAATAGCATTAAAAGTGGACATGAAATATAACAATATTGTTACTAGAAGACTAAGAGCAAAATGTGTATTAAACAAGTACTTTTAAAAACAAGCTTGTTAATCCAAAGATAATTAATAGCCTTAATGAGGATTAATGAGTATTAATGGTTAATCCATGCACTATCATACCAGTTCAGGTTGTATCAAATACAGATTGAACCACATCTTTGATACTCTTATGAACATATCTAGTTTTTTTAGATCAATTAAATATTGCTTATTACTTGCTCTAGGCAATGCTTTATATCAAAGTTAGGAAAATAACGGCTAATTTGAAATTCATATTGCGATATTGCACAAGCTACGCATACGGTCTGTAACATAATGAAACAATATTAGTCGCATCAAGCTTTGTTCACTCAATCAATATGTTGCCATTAAAAGAGGAAAGCTGAAATTTTAATTAATGAAGCATTGACGAAAACAAGATAATGAATAGAAAAATTGCGAGTGTTTACTTTAATTAATTTAATTGACTACTTCATCACCTTTTAAAAATAGGAATGGTGCATTTTATTAACCTCTCCCTGTCTCATTCCCACAACTAAAATTTAAGCTTCTTTTAAAAGTATTGACATACATCTGAGAATTAGATTCTAACCACCCAGTAACATTGAATGATTAGAGCAGAATGTCTTAGAGATATTCCTTCATCAGAAAACTTGGGTTTGTAGTGTACCTACAAATTACCTGTAACATTCATATACAGAACTGCAATGCAATAATAATATATGATGAAATAAAAATACATAAAAGTCAAATGAAAATAATCAATGTTCAATGCTACAATACTTAGAGCTCTGGTCGAAATGGAATCTGATGTCGACATGTCGAAGCCCAAGGTCGACGACAGTATCGATTGTCGGAATTAAATCTCCACAAAAAATCGGCAAAGAAAAAAAATCAAAAATAGTTAACTTAGATGAGCATACATTGTCTATCCCGACCCCTCGCATGTACTTTATATTGATATTATAGATTAATATGCATATATGTATGTATGTTAGAGATCGAGAAGTAAATAAACAAACTTTGAATGCGAACCGCCATTGTTATTGTTCTGCTACTTACACTTCCGGTGGATCCGGCTCGTCTCGTTGCAGCACTTCGAATAGCCCAGTAGCCATGCAAGCCAAAGCCACACACGAAGTTTCGAAATAAAATATCTCTGGGGAGTAATCTTTAACACTGATTGTAATTCTAGTTAAAACTTTGTAAGAATATCAACGCAATTGAATAAAATGACTTACCGTTCCGATCAGAGGCCCTACAGACGACTTCTCGAGATCGAAAACTAGACGAGATGTGAAACGAGAATATAAAAATAAAATGGGGGAAAAACAAAATATTTAAATTCGCTGTAAATTCTGTTAGATTATGCAACCATATCTCAACAAGAGTGATAAAAGTATGTTGGGAAATTAAGGTATGTTCTTTGTTTATCATCGTATTAGTCGATGTCGAAGTGACATTTCGATCGCCAATCGACGATTCCGACAAATGATCAGAGCTCTAAATATTGTAAAATAAAAAATTACATAAAAATCAAGAGACCATGATCACTGTTTTATATGAGTAAATGTTCACAGAATCAGATATAGTACAATACAAGGTATCAACATGCAAAATATCACACCACGTATCATTTGTTACAGACATTGACCACTGTCTACCAAACACCATCCACCATGTCCACAAAAAGTTGGAGACTATAACAATATGTCATCACTTTTAGTGGTGACATAATAGTATATGGTTTGCAACAGTTCTATCATCATATTCAGAAAAAAACATTACTGTATTTCATACAAATGAAAGTTTACAAAATTAAGGCACTCAGTAAGTTGAACTACTTGATCAATCAAAAAAGCTTATAATTTTAAATCTTTATGATTACAGTTAAACAATTTTTAAGTGCTTTAAGAAATTACCAATCATGTTATTAATGCAAGATAAATTGAGTGAAATTAATGCATTGAATCATAAAATGCCTCATCTGAGATAAGCTACAAGTTCTAGCAGTAAAGGAGAAACTATTGATCCAATACCCCATAGACCATTTATCATATATATTGCCCTTGATGATGTTATGTAGACTGACTATGTAAACAAATACACCTCAGTTAGAGTTAATAATATCTTAACAAATTTTATAATTTCTCTCAAATTCCAACATGTTGACATTACTCATTCACTTCACTAGTAATATTACAACAATCCTCTATTATGAATCAAAGATATTGCTCCTCATTCAATATGTAAATACTATTGATGTTTATATGATTAAATTGAAAATGCATGAGTCAGCAACTTACCTTTGACTTGAATGGTTTCTCTGCTGCAGGGGTCTTCTCTGCAAATGAATTGTCACTGCGCACTGAGATATCATCATCAAATGTTCCAACAGCCATTGTGCTACTCCTATCACTGCTGTTACTTCCAAGGGAATCATCATGTGACTGCTCAATTTTAAAATACTTGCCATCCTGAGACAGTTTTTTAGAACCAACAGCACGTTTTGCTGAAAATTTGATCTGCTGGGAAAGGTCTACATCATCTGCCAGCTCTACTGAGTAACTAGACTGAATGTATTTCTCAATACTTTTTAATGTTGAACCTCCTATCTCTCCAAGCTCTTTGATTGTCCGTAAAATAACTTTACTCAAGTCTGTTTTGTTATGAATACGAAGTGATCGAGTAGATAACTTTGTTACTCTATCAGGATCTTTATAAGACCATACTCCTTTATTGAATGTTTTTAGCACAAGGCCCTCTGCCACTGAAAGTTCTAACTGCTCAGCCACAGAATCTTTGCTTACTTTATGAAACTGCCGTACAGCATGGATGATTCTTTCAACACTGGGTCGTTGTTTTTGATGTTTGATTTTACGTATTGCTTCAATGAGCCATTTGGCGTAGGTTCGATTGGCCATCCCCTCTTGGGGCTGGTCATCTTCCCGAACCATAGCTCTTATGGGGTTGAAGATTTTTTATGATGGAAACATTTCAAACACCATCATATTAACAATCAATTCTCATACTTCAATCAAAAGCACTATTTTTGGTGGTGTGGTGAAATTCACATTTCAGTTCTGGACAAAGGACAAGAATTTGTCCAAGTGAACAAAGACTCAATAGCCACTAACAACAGCTGTTTTTGGAAGGTTTCCTTGTGTTTTCAAAAGACCCCCTCAGTCAATTGTAACCTTGGTTCCACTGAATACAACCTCTCACACACCTTCAACTGGTCAGATAGTTATCTGCAAACATAATAAATCGAAATAGATTCAACAACAATATCTGGCAATGAGCAGTCTTGGAAAAAACAAAAGAAAAACATTCAAGATTTTTTACCTAATTGATAAAGACCCCTTCTAAAATCAACAACATTGTTTTGAAATTCTGGATGATTCAATTTATTTTTTCTCGATTTCCGGGGCATTCCACAGCACACTTCGAGTCAATTCGAAACATTACTAATATAAATCAATTTGTATTGATAACGCGCCTTCATAATGAATTACAAATGAGGAGAAATTAGAGTTTTACGAAAGATCCCAACTGAAATTCATCCAAAATGGCGGCCGATTTTCTAAAGAATTTCCTTACATAACTCAATTTATTTAACTGTTCTGGGTAAAGAATAAATCATATGGTATGAAAGTAAATCACCAGATTATATACCTAAATAATAAACACAAAGCGATCGTACACACACGTCTGAATCACCATATATTTCGTCACAAATGAGAGCTAAGACAAGCAATTTTCAAAACATTTCCAGTTTCTTGTTCAAAATTGATGAAAATAAAACGACAAAAAAGGTTGCAATAATTATCTCCACCTTCTCCAAATGTATATTGTTATAAAGTACGATATATCATAGAAAAGAACAAAGCATAGATTACCTGAATCTCCGTCGATATGTCACAAAATTTTCGATTTTAATTTAGCTACTATCCGTTTTCTTCTTCGACAAAAGCTTTGACGATCGGAAAAATGGCGGCCGAGTCCAAATACGCGCATGCGCAATGAATCTGAGAATCTGGGAATCCAAAATTCAGGTCACCACTTTGAAGAATAATATTGGTTAAATTAACTGATTAACTATCTGAATCAAATTCCCTTTGTTTCATTTGATACAGTCACATATACTCTATTAATTTAGAACACAAAATAAGTCCAAAACTTCTTAGATATATTGTAGGAGCAATAATAATAGAGCTGCATAATTCACATATAACCTCTCATATTGATTGGTAAATGATTCAAGCGTTATTTATAACATACATAACAAAACAGGCGCTTCTACAAGGTGCTAAGCTATTAGCGCCAAATTTGAAAACGAAAACCCCTCAGTCCGAGCTGACAGCAAGGTGTGCTTATTAGCTCTTATTAGACCTACCAAAGGCACAAACAGGGAACATCTTTTGTAAACACAACCCCCCCCCAAAAAAAAGACCATATGGTCCCTATTTAGCCCCATATTCAGCATCTTTACTTTTCAAGAATATTCATGAATGGTTTTGCACTTCACAATGTAATAACAAACCTTCATATTCTATAAATTGAAGTTGATAAATGCTTTCCTAAGCTTTACTTAGCGAAATTACTTTTATTCCTTTTTAAAAACGATATAGCCAGAATGCGTCAGTATTACAACTTAAGCAAGGCGATTCAGGGGACCGTTCTTGGAAACGGTCGTAACTTACGACCGGTCGTAAGTCATTGTTCTCTTACTACGACTGGCAAAAAATGCGTTTTTCGTACATCGTCGTAACTTCCGAACGTCGTCACTATTTCCGTAAGTTACGACTTTCACTAAAAATCGGTCGTAACTTACGACCAGGGTTAGGGGTGTCTTAACTTACGATTTGGTCGTAACTTAGCTCACTGTTCGCCATTGTGTGGCTAATTAGTTTGGACATCAATTTTTTATTCATTTTTGTATTTGGTGTAGTTGAGGATATTTTGCTGTTTGATTGGGCACTAATTATTGAATTAAGTTTTGTATTTGGTGTGATTGGAATATCTTGCACATCGAGTATACATGTTGTGCCCCACCGTCTGCTCCAAAGTATCCTTACGGTTTTGAATGTCGTGATTTTAATAAGGTGAATATGTCTGCAGAGACGTTAAAAAGCCTTCATATTCAATGAGTTGAAAGAAACATACATAAGATCACGTGACAAGCGACACAATTTCATTGGTGTCTCAACCAGAAAAGTTAAGAGAAGTATCATTGAAAAGAGTGGGAGAGAGCAATTTTAACTGCATTCAGAGCATAGAGAGAGCATATGATTCTCAAAAGGAATCAGTTCTACGACTGCTTCGCTTGCAATAAAAATGCGAACTTTGTATATCCCTCCATTTAGCAACCGGAAGGTCCTTTCCGGATCACGTATTTAAGCGTGTTAAAAGGTAAATATCAAGGTTGAGAATCAAAACGATGGCACAGCCGCGGACTGCGATTCGCGTAACTGTGCTACGCAGTTCAGCGCAAAAAATGAAAGGACATCCGGTGTGAAAGAAATCATGGTCCCCCAGGGATTATGGTCCCCTTTCTTAACGGCCCTTACTGGCCCTGATTGCGTATAAGATAATGAGGGAAAGAGTTGTATTAAGGTCACCATATAAATCAATGGAGAGTAGGACCATAATTTGATAGGACCTCCTACCCTTTTACACCGGCAGTGCCTTCCACATCGAAGGACAAAACTGAGAAATTTATTTAAGTGCTATTTTATTGTTTTTTACAGATAATTCTGTATCCATTGTTGTTTTGTTGATAAAAAAACACATGTAAGCAGTTGTCCAGATTAAACTTAAACAGTAGCAAAATTTTGATTTTACCTGTAAAACCTGTACATGTAATTCAACGAAACCATACATTTGAAACGATTTTCAACGAGTTTCTGAATATCTTATAATCTTGATTGAAACTCCAAGTATGTGTTGTGAGAATGATGTGATGATAGAATGTGTTTATGAGTCGAAAATTAGATTCAAATTGCGCATTCACAGTGAACAGTCCAGTACCCTATGCCTTTGGCTGTGCTGTGCTTGCGTTTAGCTTTATTTAAAGCAACACCGAGTGCCGTAATGCGTTGGGCAGATTGATGGAATGCAGCTATTCGAAACTCCCAATTTTCTCAGTAAAGGTACATTTTCCGCTTACAAAATACCACCCAGAGATGCTATTATTTTTTTATTACCCATCTTGAATGTTGTTAATCTCATATTCAAATTCAAAATTATATTAAAAAAAGTAGAACTGACATTTGGAAACTTGAATTTAAGCCAGAAAAAGCAGAGTTGAACAATAATGCAAATAATTATCTTCCGATTGTTTTAATTTGGTCATGTGATAACAAGAACTGACCCTCATAAAAATCATAGTCCCTAACCTTGTATTTGCGAATTTAATTACTGGCTGACGGCTGACGGATTAACCTACTTTTTTATGACCAAAACATTTACATATAACCTTGTACTATTCCATTCATATTTAAATGAGTGTGCCATAAAAAGTAGCTTAATAAGGAAGCCGACAGTCGCTACTTGCATTCGCGTATACAAGCTAAGATCCAGACAGCTCTCATCCAATGAAAGCTCTGAAAGGATTGAAGTATAAACATCTCAAGATCATTTACTATGCTAATATCCAGTCACTTTTTGACTACTATGACATCCTTTACAGGTCCATAGCAAGGGGGTCGTTTTTTAAATTTGTGCATTAATCTTCAAAATTTGGGCTTTTTGGCTTGGGATTAGCCTAAAATACTCCTTCAAATAGCCCTAGAGAAAGAATTTCGATGATGAAGACGACAGAACAATCACAGAGAACCGGGTCAATTATCGTCAAATGATTTAGCAGCTTGATTTAGCAGTTAATAATGGAGTTCCACCTCAACCATGTAGCGACCGGGGGTTCGAGAAGTTCGTGCGAACCCCCGGTCAAAATTTCCCCAAATTTCCCCATGAATAATTTCAAAAGTGTTCGAGGAGTTTACGGTAAAGATCGCTAAAATGAACCAAGATAAGCAATATTGTAAAATCCCCAGAGGAGCCCCCAAATTGAAGGACTCGTTTTCCCCGATTATCTTCATTATTTCCACTAGAGATTGTTGGATACTTATCTAAAGGTATACCTTGTTTTAATTTAATGAAAAAATGATTATTTTTCGTATGAAAGTTGTGTGAGAATAAGGAGACAAGTTCAAAAGATACGAGAGATTGACGTGGGCAAAAAACCTGTATCTAAGCTTTTTGGGTGAAATGCCGAAAACGTTTAAAATTTTTAAGGCATTTTCTTCATTCATTGTTGTTGGTGTTGTTGGACTGTTGGTAAACTTAGTAAAGTATGGTGTGGTTTAGAATAAATAATAATGAAGTATTTATTATTCCTCACTTGATTTCTTTGTAAATTCGATTTTTCTGATGTATTCGCTAGTTCCTCGATATTTCTTGAACTTTGTGAAGCCGCTAAATATGGCGACTATTGTTACTATTGGTTTTGTTTTTCATTAACTTTACAGATGTTTAAAACTTGATATTTACCAGGAATTCAATTGTGTAATATCATGTTCAAATATGCTCAGATTGCACCAGAGAGAGTGTAAATTTCAAAAATGTCTGGGGGGGGTCTTGCTTCGCACACCGGCGCGGTTCGCGCTTAAAGGGTTCCGATTAACATCCCGTATAAAAACAATATGGCGGCTTTAGGCGAATCAACTGGATCAGTCCATTTTTAAAAAATAAGGAGAGTTCTGTAAAAATTGAAATTGTCTTTGAGATAAAGTAATCCGTTTATAATGATTTTGAAAACGTTATCCAAAGAGTGATTGCGTTCAAAGAATACATGTACAACAGCCAATATAAATCCTTGTATTAGAAACCGGTTTGTCTTGCTTTGTTTCATTTGTAGGATATTTCATATGCCAAGCTGTGTGCTATTACGTTATGGGGAAATTTAGATGCCAATTTTTCCTTATTGTACACAAAGAGAAGATCCTGAAACTTCACCCATAAATGTGGAATTGATTTGTCAAAATAAAAATCACCCTTTTATAAATGTGTGACGATCTATAATATACTTATGCTATATAACAGTTAGAGGTGTTGACACAACGACCTCGAACCTGTGAACCCTTGAGTATTATTCCGGGATCGGGCCTTTTATACTAAACGGTGAGCAACACCAGAAACGAGCGTTCGATTTGCTAAACGATATGCGTCACCCTTTAATGCGTAAACGTAAAATGCTCCTCCTTTGGTGTCTACAAACAGTTTGAATATAAACTTAAGTAAAAGGTGGAATAAAAAAAATAAATAGAGTCGTTCGGGGTACAGAAAACGTGCGCCTAGCCCTGCGGGGTGTATTCGACGATATGAGCCTCGGCCATATACACAGGAGAACAGGTCTTATCACAAAAATCAAAATTATGCTACAGAGACAAAAATGTTCCCAAGATTAATTTTAAAATACAAATTACAACAGTACGAGAGACACATGCCAGAATTGCAGAAAATATGTACGAAAATAACATGCAAACACTCATCATCCGATCTACACTCCCCTCCACGAGTATGCCAATTCTAACCCCTATCCGATCATGTGTTAAAGCGTTTTAATTTGTATTTGAATTTTAAATGCCTCTAATTTTTCTCAATTTTTGAAAGACTACAATAGGTCGGAAATGACATATCCGATGAATTTTTGAAGATCGACATTCCCGTATACAGTAAAATAGGAAATGGTAAGTTTGCCACAAGGAACCTCCCACATTGATATAACCCAGGAGGCGAAAAATGATTTTCAAAAATAACCCTGAAGCTCTGTAAACTAATGTACATAAAGTAAAGTAGACAATCCAACAATAGATATTCTGAATACTGATTTGCCCCGAACCCATTTTGCGTTAGTCTACATGGAAATAACGATTTTCAAAAATTCATCAAATGAATCAATTTTCAGCCTATTGTAATTGAGGAATAGGAATTTAATTCAATTTACTTCTACCTTTTTCATTGCAAGTACAGTTAATGAAAACTCAAACAATTAAATGAGGGACCTAAGGTTGCCAAACCTTTGGAGGGAAGTGAACCCA